AAGGAGACAGAGCTAGACTTTCCAGGGGTGCCCAGTGACAGTGCAAGAGACAGTGTGTGCAAGCTGAAAATAAGGAAATTCCATTTAAGCATGAGAAAAGTCTTTATACGGTGAGGTCGGTCCAAAAGCTGGCACAAGCTTCCCAGAGAGGTTTCAAGTCTCCATTCCTGGAGATATTCAAAACCTGACTGAACACAGTCCAGAGCAACCTGCTGTAGCTGACCCTGCTTTGATTAGGGGGTGTGGACTGAATGATACCCAGGAATTCCTTATAGCCACGTTGATTTGGTGATTCTATGCTTAGGATCACTGGGAGTCCACTGGGCTCAGTCCCGGGGCTTGAGCATGGTGTGTGGTCTTCTGCAGGGAAGCGTGGTAGCCCCACTCTGCACTTCAGGACAGACCTTACTGCAGCTTCTCAGTACTTGAAAAGGGCTTATCAGAAAGATGGGGACACACTTTCTAGCAGGCCCTGTTGCAACAGGACAAGGAGTAATGGTTTTAAACTGAAGGAGAGTTCATTTGGACTACCTATAAGGAAGAAGTTTTTTACAATGAGCATGGTCAGACACTGGCACAGCTTGCCCAGAGAGGTGATCAATGTCCCAGCCCCAGGAAACATTCAAGGTCAGGTTGGACTGGGCTCTGAGCAACCTGGACTGGGCTCTGAGCAACCTGATCCAGTTGACAATGTCCCCACTTATTGCAGGGACTTGGACTAGATGGTCTTTAAAAGATCCCTTCCAACCCAGACTATTTTGTCGCTCTGTATTTCTCATGATTTCATGTTCTCACCTGTCTGTAATATCAAGCAATTCCTTTATTGTAATCCGCTGATCCCCCCCAAGGGCAGAAGGGGCAGCTGTGGTCTTCAGATGGGATAAAGAAGGTGCCTCTGCTCCCCAGAGCAGGATCTCACAGACACCCCCACCACCAGGCACGTCCCCCTGGATGCCGGGTGCTTCCCCGGTGCTCTGAAACAGGAGCTGGACCCCGGTGCTCCTCTCGCATCCCTGTTTAGCGATGCTGAGAGGCACAGGTGGCTCCTGCCTTTGCTGGTGTCGGCTTGCCTCCCCCTAGCGCTCATCCCAACATCCTGCACCTCCAGCATCAGGGAATTAGTCCTTTTCCTTGGCTCTGATCCTGGCCGGTTCGTGCCAGGTTAATTTTGAGGTATTTGGTGCTGGCTGGGCTAGGTAGGAATAGCAGGAGGTCCTTATGGTTCCTTTTCCTCCCTGTGATGGGGCCCTAGGCAACCTGGCCTAGTGAGTGGGTCTCTAGGGTTTGGAACTAGGTGATCCTTACAGTCCCTTCCAACCCAAACCCTTCCATGAATCTATGGGTAGAGGTAATACAAGTCCTCATATGCAAAGTCGGGCTGGGGTATATTATTCTGGGTACAACCAGCCTGAAAAACTGGGAGGTGTGGGGGAAGAAGGATAATCTGCTTTTCCCTTTTCCTCTTCAAATTAAATGTGATAACAAAGGTGGAAAGGTTCTTTCAGCTCTTTGTCTCATCTGCTCCCAGCCTCCAGCTGGATGTGAACTCACAAACTGGATTGAGCAGGAGAAAATACATTTTTTGAAAAGCAGTGTGTCACCTGAACCTTGCTCAATACCCTCTGTTATTTAAGTGCTTTCTTGGCCAGGCTCTAAGTGGGAGGGGGAAACAGGGAGGGCAGTCTGCCAGAAGCCAGGCAGAGAAAGGCTGATGGTCTCGGTGCATGGTTGGAGGGATGAGCTTACCTCCCAGCTGCCTCCTACACAAGTTTCTCCATTCATGGTGTCTATGCACAATCCATCATCATGGTTTTATGGCAGGATGAGTACTTAATCCTTCTGGCCCAGCTGCAAAGCTTTTGGCTCACCAGAATTTTTTATCTGCTGTGCTAGAAGCTGGAAGAGCAGATCCCTCACCCTTTGTAAAACAGTCATGGAGTAGAGGCATCTGAAAGAGGAGACTTAGGAGGGCTGTAATGGTGTGAAACTGTGCTATTATCAACAGGGATAATTATAACACTGATCTGGGACAGAATGGGGAGTAAGTCTTGTGATGCTGCCCATGTCCTGGTGAGAGCAGAAGGCAGGACAGGGTCCTTCTGCCACCAGCCTGATGAGCAAGGCCAGCAGAAAGCTGCAGGTCAGGTTTACATGGAGTCTGAGGAACAGAGGAAGTGACTTTCCTTTGCCAGGAAGCCCTGCTCCTGATTTCCCTGTCTGCTCACTGACCCAGTGTGTCTGTTTTCCTCCTGCCCCACAGGAGATCTGCAATGATCCACGTCTCTTTGTGGATGGGATCAGCTCCCATGACTTACACCAGGGCCAGGTCGGGAACTGCTGGTTCGTGGCTGCCTGCTCCTCCCTGGCATCCCGGGAGTCTCTGTGGCAGAAGGTAAGTGGTTCCCCGTGCCACGGGAGAGCCTGTCAACACCTTGGCTTTGTATATCATGTTTGTCCAGGTCAAAAACTGGTTCTCAGGAATGCCTCATGTCCTGAAAAGCTGATAACGTGCAAAAATCTCCCTTAGAAGACTGACTTACAAAGGGCATTAGTCATCATGACTGCAGTCACCACACTCCAGCCAAACCCTTGGCCAGTCCCTCCTTAACCAAGTGGATCACATCCCATCTTGTTTTTCAAACAAGACCCAAACAAGACCAAATTTGATCCTTTGAATTCCAAAATAATCTAAAAATTAACAAGAAGAACAAAATTCAGGATGCTCAGCTGAAGTATTAGGCCCCGTTTCCCTCATTTCCATGGTGTCCCCTCTCTTTGGCTGTTTATTGTGTTCCCAGCTTGGCAGTGAGACACCTCATGCTGGGCAGGTAGGTTGATTTTAGGGTGTTAGCATCTCTCCCAAGTCACTGCTTTCCCAAAGAATCCATCCCTGGCATGTCCCATGGCTGGATGGCACCATGTAGCAGTGTTCCTTCAAGCGTGGGATCCAAAGGGAATGTGCTGTGGGCCAGAAAGCCACCAAGGAGCTGCAGCAGAGCAACTTGGGGAGCAAGCAGAGAGGTACAGGGGGAAGGAGGTGCTCAGTGCCACATCTTTGGACAGCCTGTGCCCATCTCCACCATGTGAAAGCCGAGGCTGGGCAGGAAGACTTCAGACTCTGGTGCAGGTGTCCATCATCATAGGGACCAGCAAGATGCGAGCAACTTTTCCCAGATTTTCCTGTAAAAGGCAGCCAGTGTGCACAGTGTGCACCACCTTCTTCACCCACAGCCTCTTACAGCCACGGGGCTGAGACAACTTCTTCCACTCCATTTCTTTACATCTGCTCTGTGTGCTGTGGTTCTTCCTGTCTCTGCTTCCTGTGGGGAGCATGAACACCAAGCTAAGGGATTTCTTGCAGCATCGCCATTTTCTGTTAAAATCAAGGTTTTTCTTTATGTGGGAACAGGATAGCTGTTGTTGCCTTCTAGATAAGCATTAAGGCTTCCTGCCATGGTGGCTGTGGTGACTGCTGTGGCTCTCCTTACAAGGGTGATGCACAGGGTTGTTCAGCTTGTTCCTCACCGTCAACACCCCCCAAGTTGTCATCCTTCCTCACCATCCACTTCCTGCTCTGCCCTGGGAAATGCCAGCCAAATAGAGGCTGGGTCCCTTTGGACACTTCATTATTTCAGTTTGCTGGCCATTGCTTTCCTCCCTTGGCAATTTTGCTGTGTTTGTGACATCTCATTTTCCATTACTTTAACTCTCAGAGGCGCTTTTTTTTTACCTGCCCCATCTTTTCTTTCAGAAAGGTTTGATTTGTAGAATTATATAGGTTGGAAGAGACCCTAATGACCATTTAGTTCCAACTCCTCTGCCATAGGCAGGGGCCTCTTCCACTTCCAAGGTTGCTTAAAGTCCCATCCATCCTGACCTTAAACACTTTCAGGGATGGGGCATCCACAAATTCTCTGAGCAACCTGTGTCAGTGTCTCGCCATGCTCACAGTGAAGAATTTCCTATTTACTGAAGATCTCAGAGACAGAAATAATGGACCCCTTGCTCCTAAGTGTGGTTACATGTGCAATTGTGATAACAGTGCTGGACACTAAGATGTCTTTATTTGGGATCTGGCAAGAGCTGAAAAAGCTGATGCAGATTTTAGTATCTCTGAAATAGCAGCCCAGGAATCTTGGCCCAGATCACCCATAGCCACTAGAAAATGTATTCCTGATGTACACCAAAATGTAACATAGGCTCTGCATGTCCCTTGCTCCATTTCACACTGTGAAACTGTCTCTCTTAAGTATGTGGAGGGGGAATACCTTCAAGAAAATAAAGCAGGCCAGCACATCCTGTGTATCCCAGGAGGTTATTTTATTCAAACATTTTCTTCCACCTTGTTTTCTCCATGTCCCTGCTTCCCATTGTGCCTGTGAATTTTGCCTGCCATTGTGGTGTGAATCTCTGAGTGAGAATGGGGTACTGGAATTTAGTTGAGAGCTGTTTTCTAAATTCCTGAGTCTTGGATGACTCTACATGGCTCTAGGTGTGATCTGGCTCTGTAACACCTTTCATATGACCCTTCAGATGTGTCTAGTTTTTATGAAAAGAAATTGAGACATCAAAATGGGGGGCAGAATCATGCCAGGATGCTGGTGCCAACTTGCTGCTGGAGGAGCAGTGTGGTGTCTGACTCCTGCCAGCTGTGCAATCCAGAAAAGGGCACGATGGTCGTGTTAGTTTGCTATTCATTGGCTTTGAGTCAGTTTGTCCCTTGGGACCCTCATGTCCTTTTCTGGATGGCACAGCCTGATGGAAGCCACCAAAATGGTCAGGAGGAAAGTGGGTTTGTGCATCCAGGAGGAGAAAAGGTAAGAGGGGAGCTTATAGCTGTGTGCAGCTACTTAACCATGGAATCATTTGGCTTGGAAGGAACCTTTAAAGGTCATCTAGTTCCATCCCTCCTGCCATGGGCAGAAACACCTGCCACTGGGCCTTGTTGCCCCATCCAGCCTGGGTAGGGGAATGTGGGCAAGATGGAGCCAGGCTCTTTAGGGGATGCAGTCAGAGGACAAAGGACAGCAGCACAAGCTGCAGGTTATTTTCAGCATAAGTTCAGTCAGACACTGAAACAGGACCCAGAGAGGCTGTGGGACCTCTGTCTATGGAGATACTCAGAGATGGACTGGATGAAGCCCAGAGAAACATGATTTAGCCCTGAAGTAAGTCCTGCTTTGAGCAGTAGATTGGACCAGACTCCTCCACAGTCTCATTCCAGCCTGAATTAACTATGAAAAATACACTCAGAGAAAGCCACTGCCACTCATCCCTGCCAAGGTGGCATCCCTGGCTTTGTTTTGGGATGATGAGCCATGGTTGTCAGGGAGGTTGCCAGGGAGGCTGACATCAGACATCCCTTCCCTATAGATTATCGTGCACAGCAGCACCAACAGTTCTGAATCTGCAAATGAGTCGGGAGGGCGCTCAGGGGAAGCCCCAGAGGGGTCTTGCATCACTGGCCCAGGTTGCCTAGCACTGCTGGGACTGTGGAGACAGGACACCAGCTCCAGGGGCCTGTCTGATCTTTCCTGCTCCTATCTGAGAGCCGCACACTGCTGAGGACAGAGCAGAGGAGCAGCCGGGGGATGGCAGCCGAGGCAGGGATGCTTGAGCTGCCCTTCGCCTGCGACGAGCAGCTCACCCGGCGCATGAGGCTGCGGTTCCAGAGCCTGCAGCAGAAGAACGGGAGGCCCCAGGATGGTGAGAAGCTGCTGCGTCCCAATGAGCACATCTACCGAGTGGATTTCATCCAGCAGCACAAACTGTGCTTCCTCCGCTGGGACGTGCAGCTGGACAGACCTGGGAAGGTCACGGTGACGGGCACCTCCCAGCACTGGACTCCTGATCTCACCCACCTGATGCAGCGGCAGCTGCTGGAGCCAGTGGGCATCTTCTGGAAGAAGCTGGGGGCCAAGGAGGTGGAGTGCAATGAGGCGGATGCCCAGGAATTTGGGGAGCGGATAGCAGAATTAGCCCAGATCCGCAAGGTGATGTATTTCCTCCTCACTTTCACTGGCGGCCTCGAACCAGCTCAGCTGAAAGCCTCCATTGTTTTTAAAGTCTGATCCCCTCTTGCTCAGCTTTTCTCACTTCAGCTATGCTTCTTTCAGTTCAGTTCTTTGTTCCATTTTTACACCTGTTTTTTTTGTGTTTTTTTTTTCTTTTTAATGAGAGACAGCACTGTGGTAAAGCAGAGAGCAGCTCAGTGCTTCTGGAGCCCCTCAGCCCTGTGAAATATTCCCCAAATGTACTGCCCTCTGTCTAAATGTTGAGGAGAAGGGGAGCCATGAGCTTGCTGCTGCATTTGCCTGGAGTATAAGACGGTGTGCTTGTGAATTCATCAGGGATTCATGCAAGGTCTTATTGGCTTGAAAATACAAGGCTGCCCTAAGTCTTCTCACTGTACCAACTGCACACCAAAAACCCTCTGGAAAAATAAGTGATTGCCATACCAGGAAACAGCAGGGATCCATGGAGCGAGCTGTGCTATCTAGTTTCCATCCTATCCATTAAAAAGGGAGGACTTGTTTGTGATGGAGTTCCTCTCCTTGCAAGGTGCTGAGTGCTTGCAGCCTCTGGTGACTTGTGCTACTGCTGTGGCTGCTTGGAGTCTCTGAAGACCAGTCCCACAGAGAATCCACCTTGCTGTGAAGCTGAAGTACATACACTTGGACTCACTGTATTCTGCAGATTTTAAACCCACTGAACTAATGGGGAGGTTGGACCAGCCTTTTCTGACCACTGCCACCATTTCTTACTGGGGGGAGGGTGGAATTTGTTGGTCCAAGATGGGTTGGAGCAGGTGTGTGTGGGCAGAGCCAGCAGCTCAGAGCAGCCTAGGCCAGCCATGAGTCCTCTGCAGCAGAGCTAATTTCTGCTTTGTTCTGTCCTTAAAGCACCCATGAAAATATTTACTCTGAAGTGTCTATAGAGAGCCATGAGGCTGCAGAGCACTTTGCAAGCCACAGAGCAGGAACTTGCTGCTTCTGTTCCTGAAAAGCAGTGTCTCCTGCCCTCTAAAACACAGGGAAGGGTGTCTGGGTGACCATGAGAGCAGAGGGGAGTGGTGCATTTATAAGTATTGGAACAGGAGTGTTTTGTGCCCAGTTTGCCCCATGACTGCAAGTAAGCTACTAAGTTTGGATGTTTCCTTTTCCTCCACCAAAAAGTGGAGAGTACTTCAATGAAGCTTCTTGAGACACATAGATAGAAAAGTCCCTTGAAAGAGCCAAGTATTATTACAGTGGTCCTTTGCTCAGATTGCACTCAAATGTGTGAGTACTCCTCAAGGTGTGGCCTGACATTGTCCCAAGATGACTAAGGAGAGAGCAGTGATGGGAAAGACAGCGCAAGGTGACTTTGTAGCTGTGGCCTGTGGACTTTTGCAGACCAGCCCCAAAAAGAGTCCAACCTCTTCTACAAAACCTCTAGAGATGCCTATGCCTTCCTCACCCCAACAATAGTGTACAAAATGATATGCACAAGTTATGCCAGGCAGAGAGGAGAAAGAAAGCAGATCACCTACTGGCTGGAGAGATGGTAGGAGCTCTGAGTCTTGCCCAAAACCAAAGCCCAGCAACCACCAAATCCTACAGCCATAACATGGCCATTGCCAGAGAAGTTGATGTCTTTGTTTAGGCCCCAAGAAATTCTGGACTCAGTGAATAGAGAGAAAAGTGGGTGCATCTCTGCTTGGCCAAACACACCTCTAGGATCCTAGCAGACTTTCCCATAGAAGACCCCTCCTTGTACATCCCAGAGCAGAGTTCCTGACTACAAGCTGCTTTAAACCAAATAACAGGAGCCACTGGCAACATCCAAAGGGGTTTTTGCATGCTGAGTCTCACAATATGCCACTGCTACGTTGCTAGGGTAGAGTTCTTGCTGCAGATGTCTCATTGGGTATTGGTGTACCACAGTAAATAAAAGCCTAGGCAATGGATTCTCCCTAAGGACTGAGGCTGTTTGTGTCTTCTTCATGCTCCCTTTGGAAGCTGCCCTAATCCTACATGCAATAAAGCACCAAATTTCAACTCAATATTGGTATCCTTGATCCCCTTTTAACTTCCTGTAAAATGTAAGATGAACATTTACTTTCTTCTCTCTTGGTGTGAAAGGCTTCATGGAGTATTTGAGCAGGTTTTTTGTGGTCAAGAGGGGGTTGAAGCTGGGCATCGAAGGGGAAATGATCCTCAGGTGGGTCCTTTTTTCCTTCAGAGCTGGGGAGGGAGGGGACCAGTGTGGTCTCTCTCCGCTGCAGGGAAGATGAGCCTCTTTTTAACAGTCACTGAAACTATCCCTACACAGTTTCAGCATCCCATAAAGACTTTCAGATACATCACCTTGTCCCATCTCCCAGGGGAACTTCATCCCAGTTTGTACCATAGTTCAGCAGATTGGTACAGCTGCATGCCTCTCTCCTTATCCTGAACTGGCAAGTTCCCAGCAGAAGGCTTGGAGAACTTGGCATGTACCAATTTCTCCTTCTAGTCAGGGACATTTTTTTCAGGGTCACAGGTGCCTTTTCTGTTAATTATCCACTTTTAAGAAAACTGAAAAAAGCCATAAATCAGCTTAGGGAGGCAAACCTGGCATTTCTGAGCTCCCAATTTACCTGTCTCTGAACCCTTTCACAGTAAATTTGTCGCACTAAATGCTGTTGCAGCTCCAGATTTTGTGAGTCCCTAAGGAAAAAGCAGCACAGCTGCTCCTTTAGAACCAGGACACAGAGGCACACAGCAAGGAACTACCCCACTGGAGAGTTTCCACTGCCCCAGTGTCACGCAACCAAGCTGAGTCCAGAACCTGTTGGGATCCTGGGATGGGTGGTCCATGGCATACTCTCCAGCAGGGAACACCTATGGAGATCAGACTCCTCTCATTTCCTCGTGGGTCAGTGTAGAAATACCACCAGTCCTTGCTCCTGGACCCTGCTCTGGATGAAAGCTGACCATTTTTGCTGCCTTCAGTGGTGGAGGGTGATCCCAGAGCTGTCCCCAGGTGAAGAAATGAAGGAGGATGGTGGGGACCTGTGGACCTGTCCTGTCACCAGTGATGGTAGGAGCAATTCTCAGGCCCAGCCAGCTGGAAGCTGTCACTACCAGCTTTGGCTGACAAGCTGCCTCTAATCAATGCTGGGATCATTTCTAAGCTCATATTAATAGTGAGTTGATTATCACAATGGTCCTCTATGACAATTCATTAGGATGAGCTCCAGTCAGGAGGGAATCAATGGGCACTGATGGAGGGCTGGCTGACCTTTCCTGGCAGTCTCCCAAGAGGACTCTGGAACATAGTTGTTAGCACTCCTATAAAGCACCAAACCCTCCAAATGTAGCTCTTTTTCATGGCTTTGTCTGCTCAGCTTCTATTGATCCAGACTACTCAGGAGTGCCTGTGAGCTTGCAGGGCTGATGACTTCATTAATATTTCAGCATAGGAACAATAGGAGCCCTGGGCTGGATCATTGCTGGTAGCTAAGGAGTCAGGAGGCTCTTCAGAGGAAATTCTCTCTGCACAGTAAAGGTGGTTTCACCATGTCCTGTGACTTCTTGAAGAGGCTCTTTCCATGCAATGTGTCTGTGTCCTCTCCTATCCCAACAAGCTCCACAAGAAAGTGATTATTTAGTGTATTGGAACATAATGCATGCTTGCGTGGACACCTTGGTGTTTTTTGTCGCTGAGCTCATGATCCTTTGGGAGCAGGTAAGTGAAGTAGCAGGGGTGTGGACAGTCAGTCACATTTCTGCTGCTGTGTAAGTCTGTACTTGTCAGCCATCAACTACAGTAACTACATTTGGCCTCACAGCCCACCCTGGCCGTGCAGTAAAACCACGTTGCCTCCACCCTCAACAAAAGCTAAACTTCAGTGGGGTAGTTCCTTGCTGTGTGCCTCTGTGTCCTGGTTCTAAACAAGATGCAGATCCCCCCTACATGTACCATCTGTGCCTGGCTGTGCTCATTTCTGTCCCAGCTGTTGGGTGAATTTTCCATCCAAAGCAGGGCTGGTGGTGCCTGCAGCCTTGACAGGCTATGGACTTTGGTAGTTACCCTTTGCCTGTGCCTGTCCTGCTGGCAGTGGCACCAAATCTGTGCCACCTCAGACCCCTCAGCTGCTCTGGGGTTTCTTTCAACTCAGGCCTTCTTTTCTGTCTTTCATCAAATCACCTCTCTGTGCTTGCCTGGGTGAGAGTGGTAGTTCTTGACAGGGTAAAAAGGAGACCTTGAGGGAATGGGGATTCTGCTTTTACTTAACAGAGTAAGTTAATGCAGAGTATCTGCTGCCTGTTCACTGGAACCAGGTAGACAAATACCACACTTGCTCTTGGGCCAGTCAAGTCACACCAGAATCAAGCAGGAGAATCAAAGAAGGTGCCCTTTGTTAGTGGTACCCTACTGACACTAAAAAAAAACCCCAAAAAGTGTGGTCATAAAAATAACCATCCCTGATTAGACAAAGCACTCATCTGCTCCAATAGCCTGTCTACAGAAGGAGATGGCAGCAGATGTCCAAGGTAGGGACAAAGAGGACAAAGGCCTTTAACTCCACCTTCCAAGGGACAGTGAAGTCTAAGCTATTCCAGTACATGTTAATCTAGTTTGCATTGGCAGAACCAGGTCCAAAATCTGGCCCCAGCAGACTGTGAGCAAGTCTATCTCCCTCATATTCTTCCTTGTATTTGATACTGTCTGCATTAGATCCAGGATGAAAGTGAGTCACAGGAAAAAAAAGGAATAATTTGGGTATATGTGCCTCTTCTTTTGCAGGTCATCCCAGACTGGAAGGAGCAGGAGTGGAACCCTGAGAAACCTGAGAGCTACGTAGGGATCTTCCACTTCCAGTTCTGGCGTTTCGGTCAGTGGCTGGACGTGGTGATCGATGACCGCCTGCCCACACTCCACAATCAGCTCATCTACTGCCACTCCAACTCCAAGAATGAGTTCTGGTGTGCCTTGGTGGAGAAAGCTTATGCCAAGTAGGTATCCACGCAGTTGTAGGATAAAGTGGGACCTGAGCACTCTGTTTTTCCTCTCTGTTCATTCACCACCTGGTTTGCAGCAGTGGAAACAACATCTTTCCTGCAGAGGAATAATATATAACTCAAACAGACAAACATTAGGAAAAAAAA